AATTAGATGTCGAATACGGTGCCCCTCTGGGATCTATCATTAAACCCGCCCCTCTCTGAAAAGAGACTAGCAAAAATAACACCGGCTTTTCTAACGTTAGCAACGTTCTTATTTCCGGCATGGTGGGCCACAAGAATATGGCCTGACAAAACTGTTGGCAAAACCATAGACTGTATGTTTTGGGTGTTTTATCAGTCATCACTGCGGTATTATACGTCATCGTCAATAATATTACACTCCCCACAATACATTTGGGCGTCTTGACTAGGAACAACGAATATGAGCTGACGGTTGATGCAATTAACACGAGTATTTTGAATGTGTAAAGCTGTAATCTGAATGACCGCCTCTCATTTTGTTTTAAATGTGTATTTCCTAATTATAACAATATATACCACGTCTGTACACACAGCTTTTCATTGAAAATAACATCGAACGAAGGAGACTTGAGCAGGATGGCTCGGCCCTCGGCAAGCGTTTTGTGTTTCTCGTGTGACCTCTTTGCAAAATGAATTGCCCACCCCTGGTGTCCGTCCCGCCAGATAGAAGAAAGTGTGTGTTGCGATTGTGAAAAACGATGACACGGTTCATGGTGTGAATGAGGAAAGCAACCGAGCGGGACCAATGAGATCAAACAACAAAAGAAGGCAATTGGCTCTTTCTCGTTCAACCGCCATTCAGTGAGTAAGCAATAAACGCCGCAATGGGTGCGAAGGGAAAGGAATTCCACTCCAACATATTCGTTTGCTTAGAAAAAAGGAGTCATTTATTGAAAAGATCCCACTGAATCGAATAATTAACCAGTGAATTACCCGGCAAAGCGACATTAATCGACACCACCGATGTTGTCTCAAAGGTTGTGTGATGAAGGAAAGATTATTATCGACGAAAGATGGAAGCAAAGAGGGCTGATTAATGGCAATCTTTTTTCTCCGCAGGTCTGCAGCAAACATATGGGTTTAACACGGTGCACGCATTGTCGTTCCATGTTGAGTCTGCAAAAGAAAACACAAACATGGGGTCAGTAACACATACTTCAATTAAAGAAACATCAGTTTACCTTATTGCAATATGAAAAGACATTTTATGACACATCAGGATACACAACATTCTCCTTCCAAATTATTCTTAAGCATACAAACCCGCTTGAATCTCTACACAGTTTTCATTTCCACCATTGTTGTCAGGCTGGCCACCAGCGAAGTTTGAGAACTTAAAGTCTTCACCATCGGTCCATATGAAATCGTCTTCCTGTAAGATAAAGTCACATTTTAGACACGAATCTCAGCTTAAGACTGAGCCAGCAGAGTGGGGCACAAGAGACAAATGTTGGGTCATTATTTAGGATGCTATGACGTCTGAATAGATTGACATCAGTTTTAGTCTTGGCTGGAGATGTTTAACACGTGTCAACCTCGAGGTGAAGCTACAGGACAAGTTCCAGGGCACCAGGTTCTCCTCCCTTGAGGTCCTAAAACAGCTATGATGAAAACAAAACCGGACACTTGCTTCCTTGAAGTTGCCAACATGGGGTCAGTAACACATACTTCAATTAAAGAATCATCAATTTACCTTATTGCAATATGAAAAGACATTTGATGACACATCAGGATACACAACATTTTCCTTCCAAATTATTCTTAAGCATACAAACCCGCTTGAATCTCGACACAGTCTTCATTTCCGCCAGTGTTGTCAGGCTGGCCAGCACCGAAGTTGGAGAACTTAAAGGTTTCGCCATCGGTCCATATGAAATTGCCATCCTGTAAGATAAAGTCACATTTTAGAAATCTCGAATCTAAGACTGAGCCAGCAGCGTGGGGCACAGGAGACACACACAGTCTCGGCTGGAGATGTTTAACACGTGTCAACCTCTAGGTGAAGCTACAGGACAAGTTCCAGGGCACCAGCTTCTCCTCCCTTGAGGTCCTAAAACAGCTATGATGAAAACAAAACTGGACACTTGCGTCCTTGAAGTTGCCGACAAGACTTAGCCTGAAACAAGCGTTCATTTTCGATGTGGCAAAAACTCCTGTGCTCAACACGGTGACTTGATTCAATCAGAACTGTTGTACTGCTCGGTTTCTCACCGGCAGTGTATCAAACAGTCCAATCCAGGTGTTTACGACAGAACCAGCCCCCTCCCGGATCAGCTCAACAACGAATGCGTTTTCTAAGCGATTGTCGATTGAGACCAGGTTCCCGTCAAAAACGTTGCAGACCCTCTGATGGGGAGAAAAAGAAAGAGAGATGATCACCAGAAAACAAATTATTAACAAATGAATATAGACGTTGATTGGCATTCTAATAGCAGTAAACTATCTACGCAAGTACTCTGTGAAAGCCTTCTGCACCTCTGCATCTGGAAAGGTTCTGGGATTGTGGAAAAAGATGTAACACTTGTTGTCCAGCTGAGTCCAGCCTTTCGGGCAATGATTTTCTGCAAGATAAATGTTGGGCATCAAATGATTCTGTCGCGGCGTGAAAGATTTCCATCACAGCCACCTACTGTCTTTGTCTTTGGCGCCACGATCCTGTGAAGACGACAAAGAAAAATAGCGCAATGTTCAGTTCAGGGAGCAAAACATCAAGGAGGGGCGTGCCATCATATTTTGCCTTACAGCTTGGCTCAGAGCAATGATCCCACAAAGGACGGCCAACAGGTGAAGAGGAGCCATCTGTGCAATGATAGAATGACTCGAGTAATGTTTTCTAATCATTTGTATTTGTGTGGTTTCCATGTGACGATGTGTAAAAAATAAATAAATAAATAGAAATAGAAATAAAAAATCCGACCGTAAAACGGAGAAACCTTACCTTTGCTGTCTCGACACGTGACTCTGGGGATGATGAAGAGCAGCCGTTTTATATCGTTCGTTGATCGTTGGAGAAAGTTACATCCCATGTCACATGGCATCATTAGTTGCGCTCAATACGCTAAAGGCAATTAGTTCTTGCCAAACTCACACACAAACAATCTCACAATTAAAAATGCAACCAACTATGCTCTGTTGTCTTTTGTGAGGTTAGTCTTAGTATGAAAGTGAGTCACTGGATGTGAATGTTTTTATCTAATTATGTCGTTTGGCCTGTCAGGATGGTTCGATAGAACAGGTGTGTATTGTGCTCTTCCTCGGCTCGATCATTCCATTACAGTCTTCCTTCTTTCTAACCCGACCCCCTTATCCGCTCCTTGACATGAACTGACTGACCCGAACCCACACAAACCTAACACCCCGCAAACCGTCCTCGAGGTCCTCTATTCTCACCATGGCCTTGCCACCATTCTCTCTCCCACCCCCTCCACTACCCATTAGTGGAAATTAGGCATACTGTAGCGCATGGACGTCATTAGGATATGTTTTGGTATCTCAACCACGCTCCAAACTCTTGGACCTAACCTTGCTTCTGTCTGATTTAAACCTACATACACCACTCGCAAAAAGTTTGGGATATCTGGCTTTTGGGTGACATCTCAGGACGAGCCGAAAATGTATTCAAACCTTGACAGGTGTATTGAATCGAGATCTTCTCTAAGCTGTTGAATCCACATGTCCAACTGTTAAATGGTTCAGTACTTTTTGCACACATTGCTGTTCTCAAACGAGGAGCTTAACGGCAAAATTCACAACAGGTTTTTGATCCTCGAATCGACCATTAAATGTCCTGGATCAATTGGAGCTGGTGTTTAAACATTCGTCTTCATCATGTTGTTCAAATTTTGATATCATGAGACCAAGACCAACACTACCTTGCCATTGTGATGCTTCAAACAGGACGTTCTCAGACGGAAGTGGCCACTGAGCTCAGAATACTGCAGAGTGTCTCATTGGCAGGTTGCAACAGAGATCCGGCGACTCCCAGTTCCACATACGCATCTGCGCTCTGCGCTGACGCTCCTTTCTTCTCATCGTCTCTCAACGTTCTCAACAAGCCATCCATCCATCCAGCCCAGACTGCCCAACAGCACTGACATTTCCGCTGAACAAAACGGGGCTGTGAAAAATGCTGCCCATTACAGGCAGTCAAATGGCGCCCACATTCCTTCCAATCAAAATCCGTGCTGCTGGTACACACGTGCTGCCGAAAAGGCGCAACCACCAAGCACAGATTCTTCTCCTTTGACGAACGTCCTGGCCAAAAAATGCTGAAAACATCAGGTCCACACGATGTAACAACACACACCAGTACTAGTCAGACACAGAAGAATCCTTTGGCCAGGGCAAAACACCAAACCAAACCAAAGCGATGCCACGCCAAACATGAGATAATACTTTGGTCGACCAAATATAATGAAAATCACCATCTTTAAGTCACATGAGAGAAATGACTTTCGGTTTAGTGCATGAAATGCATTTATTCTAGTTGGGGCCATTTTTGACCCCACTCATGGAAAAGTATTTGTCTGTCATGCATCAAAGTTTTAAGGTTTCAGATCCTTCGTGGGTAAAGAGGAAGGTCACCAGGTGAATGGCTGTTTGGTGAATCTTGGGATGGATGGGGCTGGATGATTGGTGGATGGATGATGGGCATGGCTGAACGATGGGGTGTGAGAAAAATGGGGATGGGCGTGGTGTAAATCAGACTCCAGCATTGACCAAGTTCTGCATCTTGTCTGTCAAACCCGGAGAGAGTCAATCAGGGACAACGCAAAGTTCAGTGCACTGAAAAACAACCTACTTGGTTTTCAGTTGCGCATGATTTAAATGTGTCATACTAACTCATACCACGTGTTGATTTTGAAGAAAACAACAGAAAATTACATCATCTTTCCAAATTTTAACCATGTTCAACCGATGTACATGTTTGAATGAAGTAAATCCAAAGGATCGAATTTTTCAATGTGGTGGTGGTAAGAATCATTAAAAGTCAACGTAGCTTACCCGTCAAACCTCCGAATGGATTGTTGTCTAACCTGCAGCTAACCACGAACCATTCTAAACCCTGTCATGTTTCTCTTTTGCGTGTAAAAAAAAAAGCATGAGAAAAATGGCTGGGTGTGTTCTCAATTAAGTTCCACACAAAGCATAGCACTTGACAAACTCGGTGGATTCCCTGCAAACTTTGTCCAACTTAGAATTTGTTTAAGTGGTAGAGAGTAGGAGAACTAAATGCTAAACGAAATGAGTTAAACAGCCACCGTCTGCAGCTGGTGAGCAACAATGTGTGAGGAATGAATGGAACTACTTTGCGCGATTTTCTCAGAGCAAAAGTCTCAAATGAAATCAACCACTCATGTAACACAAAACATAACACACACACACACACACACACACACACACACACACACACACACACACACACACACACACACACACACACACACACACACCTC